GGGGGGGGAGGGTTGTAAAGTGCCTTAAACTTACTGCTTTGCACGTTTCGTGTCAGTTTCTGATGAAGAACTCTTGCTTTGAGAGGAATCTTTTTTCTCAACAGACCCTTTGCCAGATTCGGCTAAATTCTGCTTGTCGCTTCCTGCAGATTTAGGCCTGTCTCCGTCTTGTGGGGGGCAAGGTGATCCAGAGCTCTGAATACAGAGATCTTCCCTAGGAGAGGAAAGGTTACGGAGATGCAATACTGTATTTGAAGATGCATCCTTTGTCCTATTCTTCCGTTGGATTGAGGAGTTTTGATCAACATAAGAAACAGCATGCCGAGCATCTTTGTAATAGTCAAAGTCTTGTGACCCCCAGGAAGGAATACGAGTCATATTTCCGAACTTGTTATCCACTTGAGCTATGTAATCTACGCCTGCAATGTTAGCAGCATCAAAATATGCAAAGGAGTCACTTGATGAGCGTCGATGGCTGCCTCTGCGTACAGGAGTTTCTGGCTCATTAAGAAGATCGTCCAACCAAGAGGGTTGCTCCTCTATAAGACAGCTTTCAGAGGAAGTACGCTGATGATGTGAATTTCCATCTCTGGGTTTCAGGATGCCCTTTTGGTTGACAGCAGAACTGGGAACATAATCGAGATAAGACGGGGCCATGCTAGGAAATGGACTTTTAGGAGGCAGTAAAGAGCACCTTCCGTTGTACATCAAACTTCTCATACTAGATGGCCCCTTAGTGTTCGCCATAGCAAAGCGCACAAGATCCCTATAAGATAAAGAACATATATTTGAAAGTGGGATAAGTAAACCTTCAAAAGTATAACAGCTCTTGATAAAGGCAAATCCAGTAAAAATAAAAAATAGAAAGAACACTTTGTGAACAGCACGGGTTCCCTGTAAAGATCCCATTATTTAGCAAGCGGAGTATCACGACCAAATCCCAAATTTCTTTTCCAATAATTACGAGTCAGATTCCAGACCCAAACTAAAGGAGATGAGGCAACAATAGGTACTGAAAACATTCTGCACCATTAACTATATGAACGAATAGCAGTCCCGTCAATGGGATATAATCAAATTCAAAGAAACCATGATCTTTCTGGAAAATCTAGCCTTCCTAAAACACCAGGTATTTTCCTTATAAGAAAAAGAACATACATATGAAAGTGGGATAAGTAAACCTTCAAAAGTTAACAGCTCTTGATAAAGGCAAACACAGTAAAAATGAAAAACAAAAATACACTTTGTGAACAACACGGGTCCCTGTAAAGACAATCTCATTATTTAGGAAGCGAAGTATCACGACCAAATCCCGAATTTCTTTTCCAATAAATACGAGTCAGATTCCAAACCTAAAACTAAAGGAGATGAAGCAACAATAGGCACTACAAACATTCTGTTCCATTAACTATATGAACAAATAGCAGTCCCGCCAATGGGATATAATCAAATTCTAAGAAACCATGATCTTTCTAGAAAATCTAGCCTTCCGAAATTTTCGAGTATTCAGGGAATTCCCGGTTCATTCCAGATTGCATCAATATGGATGATCCATTGGGAATCTCTAAATCATTCATTTATGAGCTTCAAGCCTTGCAATCTTTTGAGATCTTGTATTAATTTCTGTTCATTTTCAAGGTAGAGTTTCTGGCCCTTATAGGATCGGAACAATGAAGCACAAATACCTTATTCCGAGCAACCAAGAAAGAATAAAAAGGGGAACAAGGAAGAAAAGGTGAAGAAGGAACACAAGCGTTGGGTGAAGAGGAAAAAATGCCTCCCATTTGGAACTGCAAAAGCAATCAAAAATATAGAGACAGGCTACAGCCTCCGGGGAGGAGGCTCATTCTTACATTTCCTCTTTCTTTTTCCTTTCTGTTTTTGATAAGGAATGAGGAGGTAATGTGTGGGACATGGATTGTGTCAGAATCCAGTAACTGTTCGAAACCATTATGTTTTCTACAGCTCTGTACTAAAAGTAATTTAATGGTTCCAAATTTAGACTATCCTATCTACAAAGTGATTTATGCTGGAAATGAGACAACACCTTGAACCGCCCTAACGGACAAGCCCAAGACTACCACCACAAATGAATGGGCGAAAGCACCCACAGAAAAATTAACAACGGAAAGAAAAATTAATCACAAGTTCATAACCTTATTCAAAAGGACAAGAATTGTTTCCTAAT